AATGGAAATTGTACATAAAGATGTTTTTGTTCCTTTGTTGCTGAGTTATTATGATCTGCCCTCACCAGTAAGGCAGTGCTTTACATATTTAGCTCTCCATCCCAAAGACAAGCCTTTTTTTTTCTGCTGATATGATTTCACAATGGATGGCACAAGGTTACTTAGGCATTGATGATGGTGATTCACCATTGGAACTAGAAGGCTTTGAGTACTTTCAGTGCTTAGAGGCTCGCTGTTTCTTCCAAGATTTTGTGGATCATGGTGACGGTCTTCAGTGTAAGATGCATGATTTGGTACATGACTTTGCTCTCTTTTTGACAAGGGGTGAGTTTATGACATTGGAGATCTTCAAAGGTAATGAAAGTTCAACGTTGAATAGAGAAAGAACTCTTCGACATTTGACAGTGGTGGTAGAAAATCGTTTCTGTTCTCCTGAATTCATTCCTAATGCAGAAAAATTGCGAAGTTTTGTGGCTTATAGGAAGAGTGGTTATAATTGTGCTGCTATCAATGAAAAGGCCATGTGTGATTTGTTTAATCAAGCTAGACGGTTAAGGCTAGTGGTGATGGTTGGATATGATGGTTCAACTATTCCAGAAGAAATAAGAAGCTTATTGCATTTGAGATACCTTAACTTGGGTCTTAGCAGAAACCTTGAAAAGTTGCCAAAAGCACTCTTTAGATTGCACAATTTGGAACATTTACATTTGTATTACTGTTATAATCTTGAAAGACTGCCCGATGAGATAGGAAATTTAGTCAACTTGAAGCTTCTTCATACTGAAGGTTGTTACAAATTAACTTGCTACCCAAAGGAAGTTGTGAGATTAACTCGACTTACACAATTATTGGGGCTCATTGTGAGAATTGATCGTGACGATCCTAAAGAGTTTAGCATTGGAGATCTAGCACACTTGAAGAAACTTCTCGTGCTTTCAATGGAAATAGTGGGAAATAAAATCAATGTGGGCGAGGCTAAAAAGGTGAAGCTTCAAAATTTGCAGGAGGTGAAGATATTGGTGGATGGGGACAT